GACTGCTCATTTCATCCATGCGCATTTATTCAGCCTACCACCAAGTCTGGAGTCTTTCAAAATGAAGGAAGTCGTCCGACTTTCAATGAATTCCCCTTGCCGATACGGGTGTGTGTAGCTGATATCGTCGTAGTACGCTGAGCGGTATCGGGAGGGGTGGAGCCCGTTCACGGACTGCGTTTTCTATCAGTAGTGGCCGTTTCAAGTAGAATACAACCAGTGATAGAAAACGAGTAGAATCATTCCACACCTCTAGGTCCGTCCCGTCGGAATGCGACGTTATCAACTGTATATCCTCACTTGGGGTGTTTCATACTTTGCGGCAGCGTCCACCAGCCTCTACTAGCGGCCACTAGCGTTGCGAGCGTCTAGCAGTCAGCGAGTAGGAAGTGTAGATATCGATCTAGCGTCTGTCAGCGTCTACCAGCGTCTACCAGCGTCTGCCATCGTTCCGAGGACTAGGGAAGCAAGAGTATCTATTTAGCATTTGACAGCGTCCACCAGCGTTCACCAGCAACGGAGAGTAGAGAGAGTATTGAGAACTAGGGGGCTAGGAAACAGCTGGATAGGCTCGTGAAACTGCGGCGTGTACAACCGCACCGTACGACTGCCAAACCACAGGATTATGCAGTTCAATGCACTGTGTAGTGCGGTTGTACGGTGCGATTGCACACGCTGCAATTTCACGACGCCTAATCCAGCTGTTTGCTACCCTCCTACTTCCCCATACTCTCTACTCCCGGTCGCTGGTGAACGCTGGTGGACGCTGGTAGACGCTGGCGACGGTGGCATACGCTGGTAGACGCTGACAGGCGCTGGCAAACGCAGGTCGTTATCTATACTTTTCTAGTCGCTGACCCTGACGCTCGGATTAAACGGGCCTTTTTAGCCAAAGGCTAGGAAACGCGCGATGCAGCTACTTGGAAGTAGTTAGATGCACCCTTCGATCTACGACAACGCTCCAGCTCATTTGTAAATGTTCTACAGAATTCGAACTGAGCATGGGCACAAACCTTGAGTTCACCCTCTATTCGAGAGGTATACTGCTTCAGTATCTGAGCGCTTCTGTCATCTGGATCCGGATCGACGTTTGGTTGATGATGAGCGCAGTGATGACGCCCTGGAATCGGTGCACTCAAGAAATTTAAAGAAGGAGCTCGTCTAGAGTCAGTTTTGGGACGAAAAACCTCATATATATTCGGAAAAAAAGAGTACACACGATCAGAACAGCGCAGAGGATACAGCTGTCTAATATCAGCCATTACGCTCCATTGATAATGTCCGCTTTTGAGACTAGAACTTCTGACAAAATAAAACGCTTTGAAAAAAATCGCTTTGCTCTGCGCAAACTGTGTCGGAGAG